GGGAGTTAATGTTAATGATCCTGTGCACAGAGTGTCACTAAACAACATACTCAAGCCCAAACCATTGTCATCCACTAACTCAACAGGAGACAAGGATAGTTACCTGGATGTTACGTGGAGGTTATTCCGGGGATCAACGCCCCCGCGGCCCGGTCCATGATCAGGCCTGTTGAATCTTTGACATAGCTCTAGTAATTGCGCTGAGAGGAAATAAAATAGGTTTCTCTTTACAAGCTTCAAGGGCATAATTATCATCGGTGTTATTATCAATCACAAGTGGTTCTTTACGTATACCAGCATGAAGGATATCGTTCCCTATCAACAAGTCCACTGACCTGATAGGAAATACACCACTGGATATACCCACTGAAATATAGCCAGTATAATAGCTTGTTTCAGTGTAAACTTTGTGCAAAGGTACTTTTATAACAGCCCCACCATAGGCTTCTAGCAATACATCTATCTTGCAATAGGTATCATCAGTTATGGGCAGTACTCTTCTCTTAATAACGTGAGATAACTGCCAGTGTCTCTGAAAGTAATTATCTCGGTTAGATGTGATTCGTCAAATGCCAGTTCAGACCACAAGGCGGCTGAAAAGTATGTGCATGAATTCAAGGAGTACATAAACAGTGAAGGACTGAAACCTGAACAAGTGTTCATTTGTGACGAAACAGGCCTCTTTTGGAAGAAAATGCCAAAGAGGACCTTCATTACACAGGAGGAAAAGGCAATGCCAGGACATAAGCCTATGAAAGACAGGCTGACGCTCATGTTCTGTGCTAATGCTAGTGGGGATTTCAAAGTGAAGCCATTACTAGTGTACCATTCTGAAAATCCCAGAGTGTTTAGGAAAAACAATGTTATGAAGAGTAAATTGTGAGTGTTTTGGAAATCTAATAGTAAGGCATGGGTCACGAGGGAAATTTTCATCGAGTGGTTCAATGAAGTGTTTGGCCCTAGTGTGAAGAATTACCTCCTGGAAAAGAAATTGGATCTCAAGTGCCTGCTAGTAATGGACAATGCACCTGCTCATCCTCCAAACTTGGATGACCTACTTTTCGAGGAGTTTGGGTTCATCACAGTAAAGTTCTTGCCCCCGAATACCACTCCTCTCCTCCAGCCCATGGACCAACAGGTCATTGCAAACTTTAAAAAACTCTACACCAAAGCAGTGTTCCACAGGTGCGTGACTGTGACCACAGACACTCACTTGACCCTAAGGGAATTTTGGATAGAGCACTTCAGCATCCTCCATTGCATAACCCTTATAGGTATGGCTTGGGAGGGAGTGACTAACAGGACTTTGAACTCTGCTTGGAGAAAATTATGGCCAGATTGTGTCGACAAGAGGGATTTTGAAGGGTTTGGGACTGACCCTGATGAGCCTATGTCTGTTGTTAAATCAACTGTGGCACTGGGGAGTTCCATGGGGTTGGATGTGAGTTTGGAGGATGTGGAAGAGTTGATGGAAGACCACAGCGAAGAGCTCACCACTGAGGAGCTGCAAGAGCTTCAGCAGGATCAGCAACAGATCGCAGCTCAAAATCTTGCTGCAGAGGAGGAGGGAGAGAGATGGAAGAAGGTACCTTCTTCAGAAATTAAAGAGATTTTTGCTCTGTGGGGTAAGATGGAAAGCTTTATGGAGAAACATCACCCTGACAAGGTTGTTGCAAGCCATGTTGGCAACATGTACAGTGACAGTCTTGGGGCATTTTAGGAAGTGTTAAAGAGACGCCAGAAACGGAGCTCTCTCCACAGTTATTTTGCGAGACAGGACTCCAGTGGCTCTCAAGGTGGTCCTAGTGGCATTAAGAAACAGAGAAGAGAAGCAACCCCAGAAAAGCAATTGGTACCTGAGGTGTTGCTGGAAGGGGATTCCCCTTATAAACTGTAAACAATCCAATCTCTCTCCTCCAGTCTCCCATACACTAAGAAGAATCTCCAATAATGGTAAGTGTTACGCTGTTAATTTTCATCATTTCCCATTGTATTGTTTATGTACTACATCTATATTTCATGTAAAAAAATTTTTTTGTTTTAATACTTCTGGGTGTCAGGAACGGATTAATTGTATTTACATTATTTCTTATGGGGAAAATTGATTCTCAAATCGTAGATTTCGATAATAGTAGCAACTCCAGGAATGGATTAACTACAAAAAACGAGGGACCACTGTACATACAGGAGAAGGGGTTACTAGCCCCTTGCTCCCGGCATTTTAGTCGCTTCTTACGACACGCTTGGCTTACGGAGGAAGAATTCTGTTCCACTTCCCCATGGAGATAAGAGGAAATAACCAAGAACTAGAACTAGAAAGAAAACAGAAGAAAATCCAGAGAGATATGTATATATTTGCTTGTACAGTGGACCCTCGACCAACGTTGGCATCGTCTAATGTTAAATGCGACTTGCTATACATTTTAATGCAAAAATTTTGCCTCGACTAGCACTAAAAAACCCGACCAACTGCTATTCGTTCCGTTCGAGAAGCGTCCACTTGTGGCCTGACCGCGCCTTACTTGTCCCGTGGGTGCCACTGTTTACAAGCCAGCCAGCCACCGCGGTCCCATCCAAACATACAATCGGAACATTTCATATTATCACAGAGTTTGTAGTGATTGCACCTGCAAAATAAGTCACCATGGGCCCCAAGAAAGCTTCTAGTGCCAACCCTACAGCAAAAAGGGTGAGAATTACTGTGGATACGAAGAAAGAGATCATTGCTAAGTATGAAAGTGGAATGCGTGTCTCCGAGCTGGCCAGGTTGTACACAAAACCCCTATCAACCATCGCTACTATTGTGGGCAAGAAAACGGCAATCAAGGAAGCTGTTCTTGCCAAAGGTGCAACTTTGTTTTCGAAACTGAGATCACAAGTGATAGATGATGTTGAGAGACTGTTATTGGTGTGGATAAACGAAAAACAGATAGCAGGAGATAGCGTCTCTCAAGCGATCATATGTGAAAAGGCTAGGAAGTTGCCTGACGATTTAATTAAAAATGCCAGCAACAGTGTGTGATAGTGAGTGAATTTAAGGCCAACAAAGGTTGGTTGAGAGATTTAAGAATCGACTGGCATACATAGTGTGATAAGGCATGGTGAGGCTGCCATTCGGACCACAATAGCGCTGAAAAATATGTGCAGGAATTCAAGGAGTACATAGCAGTGAAGGACTGAAACCTGAACAGTGTTTAATTGGATGACGAAACAGGCGTTTTGGAAGAAATGCCAAACAGGACCTACATTTACTCAGGAGAAAAGCACCCCAGGACATAAGCCTATGAAAGACAGGCTTACTCTGTTGATGTGTGCTAATGCTAGTGGTGATTGCGAGTGAAGCCTTTATTGGTGTAGCAACTGAAACTCCCAGAGTGTTCAGAAAAACAATGTCCTCAAGGCTATTTTGTGGTGTGCTGTGGAGGGCAAACAGTAAGGCATGGGTCACTAGGGACTTTTTCTATGACTGTTACACCATGCATTGCCCCCAATGTGAAAAATTAACTCCTTGAAAATAAATGGACCTTAAGTGCCTCCTAGGTATTAGACAATGCTCCTGGTCATCCTTCAGACTTGGCAGAGCGACTTTCTGTGGACAGAGCTTTATTAAGGTGAAGTTTTTGCTCCTAATACCACTCCTCTCCTGCAGCCCAGGACCAGCAGGTCATTGCAAACTTCAAGAAACTGTAACACAAAAGCTAATGTTTGAAAGGTGCTTTGTAGTGACCTTAGAAACTCAGTTGACTCTAAAGAGAGTTTGGAGAGATCACTTTAGCATCCTCAATTGTGTAAACATTATAGGTAAGGCTTGGGAGGAAGTGACTAAGAGGACCTTGAACTCTGCTTGGAAGAAACTGTGGCCAGAATATGTAGACAAAAGGGATTTTGAAGGGTTTGAGGCTAACCCTGGGAATCCTATGCCAGTTGAGGAATCCTTTGTGGCACTGGGGAAGTCCTTGGGGTTGGAGGTTAGTGGGGAGGATGTGGAAGAGTTGGTGGAGGAGGACAATGAAGAACTAACCACAGATGAGCTGCTAGATCATCTTCAACAGCAAGAGGCCAGACCTGAGGAAACTGCTTAGGAGGAGGGGAGAGAGAAATTGAAGAAGTTGCCTACTTCAAAGATTAAAGAAATGTGTGCAATGTGGCTTAAAGTGCAAACCTTTTTTGATGAAAATCACCCTGACTCGGCTACTGCAAGCCTTGTTGGCAACCTGTACACTGACAATGTTATGAACCACTTTAGGAATGTCATAAAGGAACGGGAGGTACAGGCCTCTATGGATGGATATGTTGTGTCGACAGAGGTCCAGTGACTCTGAAGCTGGTCCTAGTGGCATTAAAAGAAGGGAAGTAACCCCGGAAAAGGACTTGCCACCTCAAGTCCTAATGGAAGGGGATTCCCCTTCTAAACACTAACACCATCAACACTCTCCCCTCCTCCCATTCCATCAATCATCACCAGATCTTCACTAAAGGTAAGTGTCATGTAACTGTGCATGTCTTCTTCAGTTTGTGTATTAAAATTAATATTTCATGTGGTAAAAATTTTTTTTTTCAATACTTTGGGGTGTCAGGAAAGGATTAATTTGATTTCCATTATTTCTTATGGGGAAAATTAACTCGACTAACGATAATTTCGATTAATGATGAGCTCTCAGGAACGGATTAATATCGTTGGTCGAGGGTCCACTGTACATGTATGTGTAGTGTGACCTAAGTGTAAGTAGAAGTAGCAAGATGTACCTGAAATCTTGCATGTTTATGAGACAGAAAAAAGACACCAACAATCCTACCATCATGTAAAACAATTACAGGTTTCCCTTTTACACTTGCTTGGCAGGACGGTAGTACCTTAGTACCTCCCTGGGCGGTTGCTATCTACCAACCTACTACCTAGGTGTTTTATATATACTCTGATAATTATACTTGTGTGTACCTAAATATATACTGTGCTGGCATGCAGATGTACATTAAAATCACCATATTAACCCTTTCAGGGTCTGTGCCGTAGATCTACTGTTTTACATTGAGGGTCCAAACCGTAGATCTACACCAAAATTCTAGCGGCATCAAATTTAGTGCAAGAAGGCTGGTAGGCCTACATCCAAGAGAACGAGTCTGCGTGGTGTGTGTGCGCTGTAAACAAAAATTCTAGGTGCCAGCATGGCATTGTGGGAACTCCGCCTCAGTAAGCTTTGTTCACCATGCCTCGCCGCAAGGCAGCTCTCACTCCGAGGCGAATTGGGACTCTCCTCTTCCTAACTGATAGTTCTGACTCTGATGGAAGTGGAAAAAAAGAAGAATTCTATGGGTTTGATTGATTAGTGACTGAAAGCAATGACCAGGATATCGAAAATAGTGCAGAAGATTCTGACAATTCTCAACCTTCTACCCCTGGTGTGGGCACGCCTCAATCACGTTCAATTGTACCTCGTCACAAGAGAAAACTAATATTTTTGCATGGCCAGGCCTCAGACTTCAGTAATGATGATGATAGTGATGTGGACTGTGATTTTATTGCTCTTGATGATCATTCGAGTAGTGATAGTGATGAATCATATTCACCAGTGAAGCGTCGGTATATACTCCGCTACTTGTGCTCGGATAGTGTTCCCTATGCAGTGCCCAGGGGACGGAGTACATCCCGGAATACATCCCGTGGCCCTACACCAGGAATAGACAGTGAAAGTGAGGATGATGTGGCTACACTTGGTATGGATATACCACAGGCATCAGTAGGTGGAGGTATTGGTGGTGGTAGTGCCACGGCCATGCATGACTCGCCAGCCCAGGCTGGGACCCCATGCCGCTGACTCCTCAGCTCAAGGACAAAGCGGAGCGTCATCCACCACCACACCCAACTACAACTACAACCACAAAACCTGCGCTCTCATTCACGCATTTTAACGTTGATGTCGTGTGTTTTGTGCTTGTGGGGAATGTGTAAGAAGCTGCCATGGCCAAAAGAAGCTTGCTAGTGGTACCCATGTTGTTTGGTAAAGAAAGTGCAGAAACCACCATAGATGTGAAGAAGGAAATATTACAGATGTATCGAGAGCGGTGTGAGACTTGTTGAAGCTTGACAGGATGTATGGTAAATCAGTTGGACCATTGGTTTTATCCTGTCAAAGAAAGAACACAAATCAAGGAAGCTGATGTTGCGAAAGGTGTTATATGTAACCAAAAAGGTAGGCTGGGTGGGGGAGGGGTGGGGGGGGGGAGTGACTTCCAGACTTTGAACTCTGCTTGGAAGACAATGTGGCAGATTGTGTCCAAAAGAGGGATTTTGAAGGGTTTGAGATCTGGACCCTGAACCAGCTCACCCTCTGCTGTTGTAGGACTCTATTGTAGCTTTGAGGAAGACACCCTGGGGTTGGAGGTGAGTGGTGAGGATGTGGAGAGGTGGTGGAGGACACAGGGAAGAGCTAACCACTGAAGAGCTGCAAGAGCCTCATGCGGAGCAGTATAGACACAGTGAGGAACTGTGGCTTCGTGGAGGAGGAAAAGATGGGAGTGGATGAGGGTGACTTTCTTCAAAGATTAAGGGATTTCTGCCATGTGGAATGATGTCTAATGTTTGTGCGAAGTACCACCTGAGGGCAAGCTGAAAAAGCCATCTTTGCCAACAAGTTTCAGTGACAGACCACACAGGCATCAGTAGGTGGAGGTGTATTGGTGGTGTAGTGCCACGGGCCAGCATGACTCGCCAGCCCAGGCTGGGACCCATGCGCTGACTCCTCAGCTCAAGGTCAAAGCGGAGCGTCATCACCACCACACCACAACTTACAACTACAACCACAACTAGCTTATGATGTCCGTATCACCAGCAAAACTGCATCTGGGATGGCAGCAAATCCCAATTTTTGCTTCCGATTTCCATCAGTTTGTTGACTCTCAGAGGGAATCATACAACTGTTCCCTCTGGAAACACTGCAAATGAACTGGAATTCTCCTTGAACTATTCTTTGGACATCCCTTGATGGAAATTATTGTCATGGAAAGTAAAAGTATTTTGGTACACCATGGGCAAATATGATCATATCCACCCACAGTCAAGGACTTACACCGGTGAAAGAGACAACTGTGGTGAAATGTATTTGCTTTTTGCAATAATAATGCTTATGCTTATGTCTATAAGCATAATATAAATCATACTGGTCCAATATTGACTAATTTGTACCTGGCCTTAAGTGAAATCATCCAGTGAACAGGTTTATCTTTCTATTAAGTTGTGCACTTCTCTGACAATTAACCAGGCTGACAGAAGTGGCAGGGTCTATACAAGTTAGAAATGCTTTTATGTATCTGAAACAAAGTTCACATGTACATATCCATTCAAGAATCTTGAAACAAAAATCGTTTCAAGCAGTATATACAGAAGCAAGAGGAGGAAGGAAAACGCTTTGGTATAAAACTGTTTGTACTCTTTGACTTTGACCTTGTGGCTGGTATTGGAATTATTGTATACACAGGGAGGAAAACATTGAAAGATTACCAGGATGGTATTGGGTTCTCAGGTGATGTAGTGAGAAACTAATTGATGGGCACCTTACCTTTGTAAGGGGCATACATTATATTGTTAACTGGTACACAAGCTCTTGAAGTCAGTGATTTCTTGTGAGTGAACATGACAGATGTGTGTGGCACTAGTGTGTTCTTGATCGTAACATATGCCCAGGTTCAATGCAGGCACCTCATTCTGGTGAGGTGCAGGTGTTACTGCAATGACATTTCATGGCATTACGGTGCATGACAGAACGAGATGTCACATTGTTGACAACTATTTCACCTAACAAAATTTGAAAGACTGTGCAAAGTTGATGTGACTAATGAACATGTTCGAAAACAGTGACAGTGATTGATTTACACAAACATGCGTTTGGTTGGACAAGTGGACATGCTTTGTTGCTTGTGTTCATAAGAGTTTACAAGTGGTACATAAAACTTTTCTTCCTTAATGGACATTTCAATGCTCAATGCATATAATATGTACCAAAATAAAAGACCGGCAACAGACCACCTTATGGTTGAATTTGTTTGTCTGTGACAGACAACTCTTAATTGAAGTATAGGTAACAACACCTGCTTACAAAACCGTCTCGAACTCATCAGGAAATACACCCAAATATCCCCACATAAAGAGAGAAGCTTACGCGGACGTTTCGTCCGACTGGGACTCATTGACAAAGTCACACCTAACAGAGGTGGGAAGGACGGCTTTACAGGTGGACCCCGCACATAACGATTACTACGAATGCGACCAATTATGGTAAGGTATTTTGTAAGTGCGTTTGTACGTGTATGTTTGGGGGTCTGAATATGGACTAATCTACATTCAATATATTCCTTATGGGTATAATTGGTAGGTATGGCACCTGAACATACTTATGGAGTGAAAAAATATAGTTAACCGGGGGTCCACTGTTCTAGCAGGAAGAGGTGTGGTAGTAGTAGTAGTACAAGCAGTTGTATATAATACCGATACAAGAGAAATGTTGTCTTAATTTCATCTTGTCGGTATTATATACAACGCTTGTACTACTACTACTATACTACTACAACCACCACCTCTTCCTGCCTATATATAGCCGTCCTGCTCACCCTGGTTAGTGTGACTTTTGTCAAGGTCAATCGGACCGAAACGTCGTCGTAAGCTTCTCTCTTTTATGTCGCGGAATATTTGTGTATCGTTACAGTCACGGTATTGTGCCTTTTTTTGTTATCCTCAGGAAATACCAAGTGTTTGAGGATGGGAAAGGTGATCACTCATAATACAGCTTCCTGGCAAACTAAGAAGAAAATTTGCGCAGATGATGGTTGTCTGGTGTACAACAAAACGACGGGAAAAAGACGCAAAGACACTCGGTTTATGTGCGAGGAATGTAAGGTACATATACCTCTAGTGCATTGTACCTTGTTTCAGAACTTCACACAGGGCTGTTGCAGTTCTAGAAAACATTGTCAAGTGACTGTACATATATAAATATATAATAAAACATAAGGTAGTAGGTTGGTAGACAGGCAACCACCAGGGAAGTACTACCGTCCTGCCAGATGATGTGAAACAGAAACCTGTACTGTTTTAATGATGGTAGGATTTGCTGGTGTCTTTTTTTCTGTCTTCATAACATGTTCGGATAACAGGGATATCTTGCTCTCCTTACTTTATTTTTAATTTTTGGGTATCCCACTTCAAAATGTCGTGGATGTTGTGAAATGATAAGAAAGGAGATGATTGTGGATGTTATGAATGGAAGAACTGGAGTCCTGGCTTTTTAAGTGAAACAAAGCTGAAGGGGTGGGAGAGTTTCAATGGAGAGGAATAATGGGATTAGGTCAGGGTTTCAATAGAGTTAGAGTAAAAGAAGAGTAGCAATTAATGTTGAAGGATAAGCTATGGCAGGAACAGAGGGGACTACAAATGTATAAACTCAAGGATTATGTTGAGTAAAATAAGATTGGGATGTGAAAAGTGGGTTATTAGTAAGCGTTGTATGCACCTGGAGAGAAGAGAGACAGTGTAGAGGAGAGAGAAGAGATTCTGGGAAATGTTGATGTGAATGCGTGGGGAGTTTTGAATCAAGTGTGAGAGTAATGAGTGGTTGGGGATTTCAATGCTGGAAGTGGGTAAAAATGTTATGGAGGGAGTAGTAGGTAATTTTGGGTGGTGGCAGGGGTAAATGTAAATGGCGGAGCCTTAATTGAGCTATGTGTAGAAAGAAATTGGTAATAATAATACACATTTTATGAAAAAGAGGATAAATAAATATAAAGTATGATGTAGCACGTAATGAAAGTAGTTTGTTAGTTATGTATTGGTGGATAAAAGGTTGATGGTTATAGGCCTCCAGGATGTACATGTTTATAGAGGGGCAAACATGATATATGGATCATTATTTAGTTGTAGCTACAGTTCAGTGTAAGAGGTAGATGATGGGAAAGAGGAAGGTGGCAATAAGACAACAAGGTAAGAGGGGGTGAAAGTGTATAAATAGGAGGAGGAAGTGTCGGGCGAGATATAAGCGACTATTGGCAGAAAGGGGGGGGGATAGTGCAAAGAATGAGTAGTGGGGGGGTTGAAAGAGGGTTGGAATAGTTTTAAATATGCAGTATTAGAATGTGGGGCAGAAGTTTGTGGTTATAAGGAGGGTGGGGGGACAGGGAGGTAAGTAGGAGTGATTGGTGGAATGATGAAGTAAAGGGTGTGATAAAAAGAGAAAAAAGTAGCTTACGAGAGGTTTTTACAAAGCAGAGGAAAGTGTTATAAGAAGGAGCAGAGATAAGGAGAGTAAAAGAAGGGTGAGAGAGTGGTGAGGAGTGCAAAGGAAGAGCAGATGAAAGGTGGGAGAGGCAACTGTCAAGAAATTTTAATGAAAATAAGAAAAAATTTGGAGGGAGTTAAACAAGTTAAGAAAAGCTCGGGAAAGTATGGATTTGTCAGTTAAAACGAGTAGGGGAGTTAGTTGATTGGGAGAGGGAGGTATAGGTTATGGCAGAGTATATTTTGAGGAACTTTTAACTGTTAAGGAGAAGGGAGGCGGTAATATCAATGCACTGGCAGGGAGGATATACCATTTTTTAGGAGTGAAGAAGAGCAGATATGTAAGTGTGGTGGAGGTACGTTGAGGATTACGTAGAATTGAAAGGGGGTGTGTAAAGCAGCTGGAACTGATGGGATCATGGACAGAAAATGTTTAAAAGCAGGGGGGGATATAGTGTTGGAAGTGGATGGTACTTTTGTATATAAAATGTATGAAAAAGAGGGGAAGGTACCTAGGGAGTGGCGCGGAGAGCATGTATAGTCCCTTTATATAAAGGGAAAGGGGATAAAAGAGATTGTAAAAATTATAGA